AAGAAACTCACATCACCTGTAAGGACACATATGGGGTTGAAGTGAAGGTACGGAAAAGATATTCCATGCAAACAGAAACCAAAAGCAAGCAGAAATAGCTATACTAATATCAGACAAAACAGACTTCAAGTCAAAATCTGGAAGCAGGGACAAAATTGACAACATAGTTGGAAGTAAAGCACTCCTCAGCAAATGTAAAAGAACAGAAATTGTAACAAACTGTCTCTCAGACCACAGTGCAATCAAACTAGAACTCAGGATTAAGAAACTCTCTCAAAACCACTCAACTACATGGAAACTGAACAACCTGCTCCTGAATGACTACTGGGTATATAACAAAATGAAGGCAGAAATAAATATGTTCTTTGAAACCAATGAGAGCAAAGATACAACATACCAGAATCTCTGGGACACGTTTAAAGCAGTGTGTAGAGGGAAATTTATAGCACTAAACGCCCACAAGAGAAAGCAGGAAAGATCTAAAATTGACACCCTAACATCACAATTAAAAGAACTAGAGATGCAAGAGCAAACACACTCAAAAGCTAGCAGAAGGCAAGAAGTAATGAAGATCAGAGCAGAACTGAAAGAGATAGAGACACAAAAAACCCTTCAAAAAGCCAATGAATCCAGGAGCTGGTTTTTTGAGATCAACAAAATTGATAGACTGCTAGCAAGACTAATGAAGAAAAGAGAGAAGAATCAAATAGATGCAATAAAAAACTATAAAGGGGATATCACCACTGACCCCACAGAAATACAAACTACCATCAGACAATACTATAAACACCTCTATGCAAATAAACTAGAAAACCTAGAAGAAATGGATAAATTCCTGGACACATACACTCTCCCAAGACTAAACCAGGAAGAAGTTGAATCCCTGAATAGACCAATAACAGGCTCTGAAATTGAAGCAATAATTAATAGCCTACAACCAAAAAAAGTCCAGAAGCGGATGAATTTACAGCTGAATTCTACCAGAGGTACAAGGAGGAGCTGGTACCATTCCTTCTGAAACTATTCCGATCAATAGAAAAAGAGGGAATCCTCCCTAATTCATTTTATGAGGCCAACATCATCCTGATACCAAAGCCTGGCAGAGACACACAAAAAAAGAGAATTTTAGACCAATATCCCTGATGAACATCAATGCAAAAATCCTCAATAAAATACTGGCAAACTGAATCCAGCAGCACATCAAAAAGCTTATCCACCATGATCAAGTGGGCTTCATCCCTGGGATGCAAGGCTGGTTCAACATATGTAAATCAATAAACGTAATCCAGCATATAAACAGAACCAAAGACAAAAGCCACATGATTACCTCAACAGGTGCAGAAAAGGCCTTTGACAAAATTCAGCAGCTCTTCATGCTAAAAACTCTCAATAAATTCGGTATTGATGGAACCTATCTCAAAATAATAAGAGCTATTTATGACAAACCCACAGCCAATATCATACTGAATGGGCAAAAACTGGAAGCATTCCCTTTGAAAACTGGCACAAGACAGGGAAGCCCTCTCTCACCACTCCTGTTCAACATGGTGTTGGAAGTTCTGGCCAGGGCAATCAGGCAGGAGAAAGAAATAAAGGGTATTCAATTAGGAAAAGAGGAAGACAAATTGCCCCTGCTTGCAGATGACATGATTGTATATTTAGAAAACCCCATCATCTCAGCCCAAAATCTCCTTAAGCTGATAAGCAACTTCAGCAATGTCTCAGGATACAAAATCAACGTACAAAAATCACAAGCATTCTTATACACCAATAACAGACAAACAGAGAACCAAATGATGAGTGAACTCCCATTCACAATTGCTTCAAATAGAATAAAATACCTAGGAATCCAACTTACAAGGGATGTGAAGGACCTCTTCAAGGAGAACTACAAACCACTGCTCAATGAAATAAAAGAGGACACAAACAAATGGAAGAACATTCCATGCTCATGGATAGGAAGAATCAATATCGTGAAAATGGCCATACTGACCAAAGTAATTTATAGATTGAACGCCTCCCCATCAAGCTACCAATGACTTTCTTCACAGAATTGGAAAAAACTACTTTAAAGTTCATATGGAACCAAAAAAGAGCCCTCATTGCCAAGACAATCCTAAGCCAAAATAACAAAGCTGGAGACATCATGCTACCTGACTTCAAACCATACTACAAGGCTACAGTAACCAAAACAGCATGGTACTGGTACCAAAACAAAGATATAGACCAATGGAACAGAACAGAGCCCTCGGAAATAATACCACACATCTACAACCACCTGATCTTTGACAAAGCTGACAAAAACAAGAAATGGGGAAAGGATTCCCTATTTAATAAATGATGCTGGGAAAACTGGCTAGCCATATGTAAAAAGCTGAAATTGGATCCCTTCCTTACAACTTACACAAAAATTAATTCAAGATGGATTAGAGACTTAAATGTTAGACCTAAAACCATAAAAACCCTAGAAGAAAACCCAGGCAATACCATTGAGGACATAGGTATGGGCAAGGACTTCATGTTTAAAACACCAAAAGCAATGGCAACAAAAGCCAAAATTGACAAATGGGATCTAATTAAACTAAAGAGCTTCTGCACAGCAAAAGAAACTACTAACAGAGTGAACAGGCAACCTACAGAATGGGAGAAAATTTTTGCAATCTACTCATCTGACAAAGGGCTAATATCCAGAACCTATAAAGAACTCAAACAAATTTACAAGAAAAAAGCAAACAACCCTATTAAAAAGGGGGCAAAGGATATGAACAGACACTTCTCAAAAGAAGACATTTATGCAGCCAGCAGACACATGAAAAAATTCTCATGATCACTTGCCATCAGAGAAATGCAAATGAAAACCATAATGAGATATCATCTCACACCAGTTAGAATGGCGATCATTAAAAAAGCAGGAAACAACAGGTGCTGGAGAGGATATGGAGAAATAGGAACACTTTTACACTGTTGGTGGACTGTGAACTAGTTCAACCATTGTGGAAGACAGTGTGGCAATTCCTCAAGGATCTAGAACTAGAAATACTATTTGACCCAGCCATCCCATTACTGGGGATATACTCAAAGGATTATAAATCATGCTGCTATAAAGACACATGCACATGTATGTTTATTGTGGCACTGTTCACAATAGCAAAGACTTGGAACCAACCCAAATGTCCATCAATGACAGACTGGGTTGGATTAAGAAAATATAGCACATATACACTATGGAATACTATGCAGCCATAAAAAAGGATGAGTTCATGTTCTTTGCAGGGACATGGATGAAACTGGAAACCATCATTCTGAGCAAACTATCACAAGGACAGATAACCAAATACTGCATGTTCTCACTCATAGGTGGGAATTGAACAATGAGAACACTTGGACACAGGAAGGGGAACATCACATGCCGGGGCCTGTTGTAGGGTTGGGGGAGTGGGGAGGGATAGCATTAGGAGATATACCTAATGTAAATGACAAGTTAATGGGTGCAGCACACCAACATGTCACATGTATACATATGTAACAAACCTGCACATTGTGCATCTGTACCCTAGAACTTAAAGTATAATAATAATAATAAAAATTAGCCACAGAAGTTCCACAGTATGATTAAACTTTCTACTTTAGGACAATCATTTTGAATGTGCTTTTTTTTTTTTTTTTTTTTTTTGCCATGGAGTCTTACTCTATTGCCAAGGCTAGAGTGCAGTGATGCCATCTTGGTTCACTGCAACCTCCACCTCCTGGGTTCAAGCCATTTACTGCCTCAGCCTCCTGAGTAGCTGAGACTACAGGTACATGCCACCAAGTCTGGCTAATTTTTGTATTTTTAGTAGAGACGGAGATTCACCATGTTGGCCAGGCTGATCTCAAACTCCTGACCTCAGGTGATCTGCTCGCCTCGACCTCCCAATGTGCTGGGATTATACACATAAGCCACCGTGCCTGGCCTGAATGTCCTCTTAAGGGTAGATTATAGTAGGACTAGACTGATAACCTAGCCAGTTAGGTTCTTATAGTGTTCAATTAGTGAAGCTTTTTTTTTTTTTTTTTGAGAAGGAGTCTTGCTCTGTCACCCAGGCTGGAGTGCCGTGGCCGGATCTCAGGTCACTGCACGCTCCGCCTCCTGGGTTCACGCCATTCTCCTTCCTCAGCCTCCCGAGTAGCTGGGACTACAGGCGCCTGCCACCTCGTCCGGCTAGTTTTTTTGTATTTTTTTTTTTTTAGTAGAGACAGGGTTTCACCGTGTTAGCCAGGATGGTCTCGATCTCCTGACCTCGTGATCTGCCCGTCTCGGCCTCCCAAAGTGCTGGGCAATTAGTAAAGCATTTTAATTGCTTAGACTTGGCACATAAACAGCAAAGAGAAGATTGAAGGGTATCAATCTACATCTGAATTTTTAAATCACTTTTTTCAATTCCATTTTGTACTATTTTCAGGAGATCTCTGCTAGATATTTTCTGCCTACGTTATACATATTAAAGCAAATTAATAGTTTTATTCCACATCCTTCCATTATATCCAGCTTCCCCATAACAATGACTGCTGTCATCTAAGTTATTTCACAAAAATCTAGACTATTCCTGACTGGCAAGCTTATGTTTTGCTAGGGTTTTTGTTTTTGCTTTTGTTTTTATCAAATCCTGATTTATTTTAAAACTTTAAATTTGTCATAAAATCATAAAAATCTTCAGAGTTTTTGTTTGTTCATTTATCATTTAGTTTTTAAATCTATCCAGCCACTGCTTGGTCAGATCTCATCAGTACTATGCAGTACTCATTAGTACTCAGTACTGCACCTGCACCCTCTCTCAGGTATTAATTTCTCTCTTAGGAATTAATGCTGAAATCCAGAAGTTGAGTAACTTTTTCTATTTAGAGCTACACAGTAAATTGTGCCAGCTTCGTGGGTCATGTGGCCCCCTGTGACAATTATTTAACTTTGCCAGCATAGAATGAAAACGTACATAGACAATGTGTAAACAAATGAACGTGTCTGTGTTCCAATAAAATTTTATTTACGGAAAAAAAAAAGAAACTATGCAATGATCATAAAAATATTAGATGTCAATTTGAAACATGCTTGGGAAAAAGTAGTTTTTCAAAATTGTTAAGATACTTGTTAGAGATAAATAAAATTTTGGAAAATCACTTTCCCAGACCCTTGAAACCTTTGTGGGAGTTAAGGAAGCACAGAGTTACAAATCTGGAAAATTCATGGCTAATTACACTTCATTATTAGGTAGACTTAGGGCCCAACCCCCAACCAAAGACTCAAGGGAGGTAGGCTGAACCATAAGGATTTTGTTCTCCAAATTGAGGGTGTTGGGGTCCGCGTGTTTCCTAAACAAAGGAATGAACACACAAGACAACACAGGACAAGACATACATGGCGGCCGCCCCGAATGGCACACACTGCTTTATTTTTATCCAGCCGTTTGTGGAATGTTGCCAAGTCACGGGACATGTGTTGCTTCTCTGACCTTTCCTTGACTCGCAAGATCAGTAAAACATTGACCAGTTCCCAGAGCCCGCTGCTTACAGCTGGCTCCTTTATCCTTCTTGTTTGCAGAGAAGGAATGTCCTGCTTTGTTTGCAAGAGCAGGGCTTATCGGGAACTTCTCGTTTGCCAGCACACAGTCCTCTACTTATTATTATTATTATTATTATCTCCCCCTTCTTATTTACAGGTTTGAATTTCTTTCAAAACCATTATCACATGTTGGGCTCGTTGGGATTTGGTGTTTGCCCTTTGGCACCGTTTCTAGTAGACTGTGAAAATGACAAAGGCAAAAACAACAATTAATACATTACTAGAAACAGAAGTCAGTAAGGTTTTTACAGGACTCATAGGGTTTAAAGATTTCAAGCTTTGCACAATACCAGTCATTAAATTTGCACCAGTTCACAATGGTAACTGATTAGGAAATGTTTCAGAAATATTGTGTGTTAGTTCTTGTATTTCCAGGGAAAGATTATTATGGCCAATTAAAAGCCTCTTTATCTCTGTCCAATTATGTACAGTGCTGTTAAAAGGAACAGGGGTAATACAAAATTGAGTAGTATTTCAGTCACATTTTAACAAGGCTCGAGTATTTAACACTATCAGCTGATCTCCTATCCAAGAAACCACTTGTTCTAAGTTATCTACTCGTTTAGTCAAATGAGCATCGATGTCTCATTGTTGTTGCCACAACAAGTGAGATTATTCATGCCATTGTTGCACGAACTCTGCATTTTGGATATTCTGATGTAACGCCAGTCCAGCAACAGCGGCGGTGGAAGCAATGGCCACAAGTCCCACTACTGCTGTTACAACAATCCCAACCGCTCTCCGGCTGCGGTGGACAAGATCTTGCATTACTTTGTAAATTTGAGTAACCCCAGTAGATTTACTCCAGATGCGTGTCAAGTTCACAGGTAACCAGACTTCTTTTCTAGCTCTTAAAATATATATATTGGAGTGAGTCTCATTCCAATTATTATGCCATCAAGTAGTATTTATACAGCTTAAAAATGTACAATTGTCCATACAGTTAACTATTCCCATATTATTATCCCATTTAAAGATTCCCGCTAACAACAAGTAAGGTTTTTTAACACAAGCAATGACATATCTAGATCTGTTTTGATGTAAAGATATATGGAAAGGATTAGAAGGATTAGTGGTATTTAAGGACATGTTTCCCGTAAAAGTAGATATTGGTTTGCCAGCAGCTAGTAACTTCCATATATGACTTTGTATTTGTGAGGTGTTGGCCAAATATGGCATAGGGGGTGACAAGCCACCATCATGCCAAATAATAGTTTCGTTACCATCAGCATAAATGTTGTGATTATTTTTATGCCATCGTAGGCTAAAGTGGCTAAACTTAGTCTGAAAATTTCCATGCACCCTCTAGTCAGTGACAAGGTATCTATAATGTCTACCTTTTACCTCTAATAATAATCGTGGTCTACTTCTTTTACATCTAGTCCACTTTAATTGGGAAACACCTCCGGACACGTCAGGAATAGGACATAAGGATAATGTAGTAGGCAAGGTTTCATTAAGTAGAGTAGTATGATTATATTTAAAACTCTGAATAACAACAATCATAGTAAATGCGGCAATGTGACTATGATTTTAGCGCACAGCCCAAGCCTTATGAGAAGGAGGTAAACAATGTGGACCGTTTCCAAGACATACAGGTAACCCTTCTACCCCAAATTGATATGAACTGTTTACTGCACCCGTGTCTAACTCAGGATTCTGATTTAAAAAAGGTGATGGCATCCAAGTAGTATCATTAGTAAATACTAAAACTTCTTTGTCTCCCTAGGCCACACCTTGATATAAGGGTGGAAAGGGAATATAAGTCCAATATGTGAATTTTCCAGCTGTTACCTGGCAATTCACTACAGCTAGCATAGCCAGAAATAAGGTCAGTGAGGTTTTGGGCTGTCCAGCTTGTTGAACAACCCCTTCAGCTTCTTGAGTAAGTTTTTTCAGTTGACCTCATGTCGGGGGTTCTGCTTGACAAGTTTCGTAGGTGAAGGTTTTCTGAGTACTCAGATTTAATTTTTGAAATGCCACCAGGAAGCCGTCCGGCCGGCTCCTCTTCGCCATGGCACTGCTTTAACCATCGGGATGGAAACCACTCATCTCCGGCACCTGTACGAATGAGAGCATAACTTCGACCCCACTGTAAAACTTTTCCTTTTAAATATTGGCCTTGTAATGAAGGATAGTACACCCACAAATTGTTAGCTCGTGGCTTTTCTCATGGTTGTTGAAAATGTTTCACTGCTGCAGATTGCTGTAATTGGCACCAATAGTTAAGAAAATTTAGAGTAAAAAGAGCTTTCAGAATTTCATGTTTTGGGGAATCTCGTCCATTTCCCCCTGTTTGTTTTAAAAGTTGTAATTTTAAGGTAGTATTAGTTCTTTTAATAATTGTTTGACCTTGACTGTTAAATGGAATACCAGTGGAATGACGAATGTGGTATGAAGAGAGGAAGGCAGCCAATTTACGAGAGTAATAAGTAGGAGCATTGTCAGTTTTTAATTTAGTAGAAACTCCCATAACTGTAAAGTAAGTAAGTAAATGAGTAATAACAGAATTAGCTTTTTTAGAGGGTAATGGTGTAGCCCATTGGAAGTGTGACCAAGTATCAATTGTATGATGAACATATTTTAAACGACCAAAAGAAGAAACATAAGTGATATCTATTTGCCAAATATGATTTTGTTGAGTGTCTTGGGGATTTATACCCGGACTTAAAAAGGGTGTAATAATAGGAGCACAAGATGGACAGGTTTTGACAATAGTTTGGGCTTGACGGCGTGTTATAGAAAATTGCCATTGTAATTTTAAACTGTTAGTATGATGTAATTGATGTTTATCTTGAGTTTGTTGGACATTATTAATAAGTAAAGAATTAATTTGGCTATTATTAAAAGTTAAAGGTTTTGGTAAAGTTGAATGTGAACGAATATGAGTGATAAAAAGGGGGGTTGTACGGGAAGTAAGAGTCAAGAACAATAAGGAAAATAGTTTTTGTAAAGGGGTTTTTGGGAGTAATGGTAAAGAAGTTTGAGAAATATACTTAGTTACATATATAGTATATTGGGAATTACTAACTATATTACAAGGGGTTTGAGGCCAATCTTGTAGTACCATAAGAATGGCAAAAAGTTTTTTCTGTTGTACAGATTTAAATGGATAATGAGAAATTTTTGAATTATTTGATGTCCAGTATCTAGCTTTTTTATTGTTAGAAGTGTCAGTAAAAGAGGTGGGACCTTTAACCGGAGTATTAGAAATAGGATTATAGGGCAGGAAAGAATATTGTTGTAGAAAAGCAAATAATCTATGACTGGGATAGTGTTGAGAAAAGGAACCAGTATATTTAGCGTAAGCCACTTGCCATCCTTTATGAGTTTTTAGTAAAGATTTAATGTATTGATTAGATAATTGGGTAATAATTTTTACAGGGTCAGTTCCAAGTAATTGACGAGCTCTATGTCACCCCTTAATAATTAATTTAGTCAATTTATCAATATAAGGGTGAATTTTTTTAATGGCTTTATTAGCCAAAAATAGTCACTCCAGAATGTTATTATTCTGATGTAAGATGGCTGTTGGTGAATGAGGAGTATGAAAAAGACATAAAGAGAGTGGAAGATCGGGTATAATATAATTAAGGTGAGCTTTATTAATTTTATTTTTTATAAAAGACTTTTTTTTTTGTAGTAGTTTTTGTTGAGAACTGTTTAAATTTGAATTTTTTTTAAGGTAGCAAACAAATGTTGTAATTTATAAGTAGGAATATTTAAGATGGGATGAAGTCAATTAATATTTTTTAACAATTTTTGAAAATTATTAAGGGTCACAAGTTGATTTTTTTTTAAATTTGAACCTTTTGTGGGCGGATTTGTTTTTTAGTCAATAGATACCCCAAATATTGAATGGGGAACTGAGTTTGTACCTTTTTAGGAGATATTTGTAAATTATAATGAATTAACTGTTGTTGTAAAACCTTAAAAACTTGATTTTGGAGGGTTACATCGGGGTAGTTAATAAAATATTATCCATATAATGATAAATTAACACAGTTGGAAACTGATTTTTTACAGGATTTAAAGTCCTATGTACGAATTTTTGACAAAAAGTAGGGCTATTAAGTATACCCTGGGGAAGAAGCTTCTACTGATATTTTTGAATGGGCTGTCCATTATTATATTTAGGAATAGTAAAGGCAAACTTTTTACAATTTTGAGGTTGTAATGGAATAGAGAAAAAACAATTTTTGAGATCTATGACCATTAATTTTTAACTTTGTGGGATAAGGGCAGGATTAGGAAGACCAGGCTGTAAACTTCCCCTAGGTTGAATGTAAACATTTATAGTTTTAAGATTAGTTAATAAACGCCATTTTTCACTTTTTTTTTTTTTAACATGACAAAGACAGGGGAATTCCATGCAGAAGTACTTGGCTTTATATGCCCCTCGGCTAATTGTTTTTTGACTTACTCTTTTAAAGTCCTAAGTTTTGTTTATTTTTTTAGATAATGGCCACTGTTTCACCTAAACAGGAGCGGTAGTTTTTCACTTTAATTATAAAACTTGAGGCTGGTGAACAGTGGCTATGAGTTTAAGGATTGTAGCCCATTTTGAACATCATATTTTTGGCAGCTGAGGAAATATGAGGAATGTTTAAAAAAGCACCAAATTGTTGTAAAAGATCTTGTCCCCAAAGATTAATATTGATAGGAACAATATAAAAAAACACTTGACCTTGTTGACCTTTAGGACCGACACAGGTTAAAGGTTCTACGTTTTGATAAACCACAGAAGCAGCACCCAAGCCAGTGAGTATAATTGAAACTTGTCTTTTTTCCCATTGTATAGGCCACTAATTTAAACAAATGATAGACACATCCACCCCCGTATCAATTAACCCTTTAAAAACTATTCCATTAATGTGTAATGAACATAAGGGCTTTTGATTAGAAACTAAAGTTTCCCAAAAAACAGTTTTTTCTGTGTTACTAAACCCTCCCTGTCGAGATACCTCTTTAGATAGGAACGGAAAAAAGGCAATAAAAGTAATTGTGCAATTCACTCCCCTGCCTCTAGGCGTATAAATTGTGAGACTTGTACCATAATAAGAATTTTATTAGTAACATCAGGATCAATGATTCCTGGAATTACCATTAACCCCTGTATAGCACTGTTGTTTTGACCTAACAAAAGTCCTACATGTCCTTTTGGCAAAGGGCCACACACTCTAATAGCTAATTTATATACTCCTCTATTAGGAGACAAGGTATAAGGCTGAGTAATAGTTAAGTCAGCAGCGGCGCTCTGCTTAGTTGCCGCATAAAGCTGAGAAACTGGGGTAGGTAAGGTGTGGGATCCTTAAGGAGGACTTGAATTAATTCCTTGATGTTGTAGGCCATTGCTCACTGGGTATTGTAGTAGACTTGTATTGTAATTGTTGGGGCCCTAAGCCTCTGGGCCCCGGCTCCCGTTTCCCGGGAGAGGAGACAGTAAATTTCCACTTTTATCAGTTTTGGAACGACATTTATTTGTCCAATGTCGACCTTTACCACAACGTTTGTACACCTCTGAAGGCAACTTTCTGTCTTGAGGGATAAAAGTGTTCAATTTTTTTTTACGACATTCTTTTTTGAAATGTCCAGGTTTACCACACTGAAAGCAAACACCTTGTTTGTTATTTCCTTTTAAGGCTTTAGACAAAGCTCCAGCAAATAATTGAGCATTATAAATAGTCCCTCCAAAACCAGCACAAGTTTTAATATATTTATCTAAATTGGCCCCACTGGCCTTTAACGGTCTCAACAATTTTTGACACTCAGCATTAGCATTTTCAAAAGACAATGTTTGTAACAAAATTTTTGAAGCAGGGCCAACACCCACAGTTTTTAAGACAGCATCCTGAAGACGGGCTACGAAATCTGGATATGGTTCATTTCTGCCCTGTAAAATCTTCACAAAGGAAAGGGAAGATTTTCCTGCTATCTCTACCTTATTTCAGGCCTTAAAAACAAAGTCTTGATTTGAGTAAGGGCGACATCATCTAGGCCAGCCTGAGTATAAGAGTAGCATACTGGCCCATGCCTGTGAGTTGTTCCTCAGTGGCTCCTGGGGATCACATGTAGCATTTTTTCTAGCCTGTACATGTGCCTTGTCCATCACCAGCTGTGCAATTATAACCACTGAGAACGATCAAGAAAAGCCTCCCCAAAGGTCTCCCAGTCTATAGGAATCATCAAATTTTCTGATGAAAAAGCATCAAGAAGACCAAGGATAAAAGGAGATTGAGGTCCATAGTTAGAAATGGCAGCTTTCATTTCTTTCAAAAATTTAAATTGTAAGGCATTAAATTGGACATTATTGCCACCATTTGGAAACTGAGCATTAGGAGCAAAAGAAGCACGAATAATTGGAAACAGATCCAGTTCCTTAAATTTTCTTATCTTTTCCTTTTCTCCCTCCCCCAGTGGCGGGAAAGGCACTGCGAAAACTTTGTCAGACAAAGGTAAGGAAGCTGGGGGGTTGGAGGCACTGGAAAATCCTCTTCTAACAAGGCAGAAGGAAAAGAAACAGGGAAAGCTCCCAAAGGTGAATTAGAAGAAAGTATCTGTAATATTTGTTGAAGTATTCCCATAATACGCTGCATGTCAGAATTCCCCTTAGAAGAAGGAAGAGCTGGCTCTTCCTCTTCTCCCCCTTTTGCTAACCCCCCATCCTCTGTTACCCTGGCATAAATGGGCTCCATTTTAGATTTATTTTTTCCCAAATCCTCAGATGCCTTTCCTCCTGTGGCTACATCACCACACTCTGAATCAGTCTCAAGTAACTCTAATGCCTGAGTGATAGAGTTACACAAGGTCCACAAATTTAGAGGCATAGTATCCCCTAACTGGTGAGCTCTAAGCAAAACTTTTACTACCTGTAACCATTCTCTCCGATTCAGCTGCACTTTAGTCTGATACTGAAACCAGTAACAATGTTGTTCAACATGGGCAAACAATCGCTTCAAAGTCTTTTTCTTTCACTTCTACTCCTATAGACAGCAACAGTCCTTGAAGCAACCGTAAATATTCTGAGGCCAGAGAGGTGGAATTCCCCATAATTTCCCCGTGGGTCCCCCTTTTTTTGTTTTACTTACACACCCGGGGTGCTCCCCCTCCGGTTCCTTGCTCTCTTGGAGCCACGGACCCTGCTCGCTGCGCCAGTTGTTGGGGTCCGCGTGTTTCCTAAACAAAGGAATGAACACACAAGACAACACAGGACAAGACATACATGGCAGCCACCCCGAACGGCACACACTGCTTTATTTTTATCCAGCCGTTTGTGGAATGTTGCCAAGTCACAGGACATGTGTTGCTTCTCTGACCTTTCCTTGACTCGCAAGATCAGTAAAACATTGACCAGTTCCCAGAGCCCGCTGCTTACAGCTGGCTCCTTTATCCTTCTTGTTTGCAGAGAAGGAATGTCCTGCTTTGTTTGCAAGAGCAGGGCTTATCGGGAACTTCTCGTTTGCCAGCACACAGTCCTCTACAGAGGGTGGCTCAATTTTTAGGAACGAAAGTACCTAGAACTAAAGTACACCTTGCTCAATTTCCAACCTTAAGTTCCAAATCCAATTGCAGATCATATTACTCTAACACGTGGAAAGGCCACCAGCAGTAGTACCAGAAAAACTGAAGCAAAAATGGCTTGCTCTTCCATTACAGAATTAATTGGCATGCCATTCATAGGATGCAAACACAGAGAATTTAACTCCAAAATGCGCCTGGAATCTGACCAACAGAGAATCTGAGTGTCAGGAGATATTGAAAGAGACAAACATATCAGAAAAACACAAGTGCAGGAATTGATGAAACTAAATGTGAAACAGTAACTCCGTCCTTTTTACAGTTCCTGAGGGATTATGCAACACAGCTGAGTAGAGAGAGAGAGAGCAAGAGATCAATCCAGCAGACTTACAGATGTTCATGGAGTTTTCAATATACAACGCTTTATTTCTTTGTCTTGTTATCATAGTAAGAAACATTTAACTCTTGCTAAAAGGAAGTCCTGGGCCTGAGCGATCATGGACAACATGGAGACCAGTTATCCCAGTCTGAGCCTGTAGCACCTGTGTCTCCTCAGTCCTGGTAAAGAAGGGCTTTCCACCTTGGGAGAGAACAGGAAACCAGAGATATAGGAAGATGCAAAATGTACAGGGCACATGGTTTTGTGTTCCAGGGGCACTGAGGCGTGATTTCTGTTAGGTATTCTCCTCACAAGAACACTGGCAGGTGCTGCCAAAGACTCAGAGACTGGGGATCAGGGACGCTAGGCAAGCCATCCTAAGGAATTGTGAAATTATAAACTTACCTCACAATGTAAATGTAAAGAGGAAACTGTTTCATGATTGTAAACTGTAAGTAAAAGGATTTGAAAATAAATAACAAAATCCAGTAACTATTGAATACCTTAGAGATCATCTTGTTGAAATGTCAACATTATAGAGATTTATAGAGAGGAGAACCGTGGTGCCCATTATGTGAAGTGGAAGGTGCATATCTGAGCAAAGAGGTCTGTTGAGCCTCCCCCTTCACGTTAGAGAGGCAAATCCGTGGACTGACCCAACTTAAAAGCCCTGCTCACAATAGTTGCTAAACGCATGGGCAGTTCTCAACTTCCTCTAAGACAAACGCTTCTGAGGGAAGGAGTTAGGGGCAGCAAGGAGAACAGCAGATCTGGGGCTCCTCACCTCAATCCAGAGTCCACCAGGGCTCCATACACTGATGCCGACAGTTGTAGTAGCAACACTTCTTGACTCCCTTGCAACCCTTATCGCGCCGGCACATAGGTAAGAGGGTGAAAGGGCAGGTAAGATCAAACTCTGGGCAATATCCCGGTTTCTGTGCAGCTGGAAAAAAACGCCATAGGTCAGGAGGCTGAGGCAGGAGAATCGCTTAAATCCAGGAGGTGGAGGATGCAGTGAGCCGAGATCGCGCCACTACACTCCAGCCTGGGTGACAGAACGAGACTCAAAAAAAAAAAAAAAAAAGAAAGAAAAAAGAAAAAAGAAAAAAAAGCCATAGGATAAGTGGGCACCAATGTGTGATTTCCAGGCCAGGTCACCTCATGGACTCCTCAGAGGAAACGTTCCCCCCCAACTACATCCAGGGTCGCCAGGCCCTACCCGCATTCCTAAAGACTCCAGGCTGGGTCATGTGGAGGCAAAGGAGGATGATCACAGAGAGTAGAGTGAAACCACTCAGCTTCATAATGCAAGAAAACGGTGTGGGGGCACCTGCAGCCTGGACCTGTCTATGTCAGCTTTGGTGCGGCCCCATCAACAGAGGGCGTTTTGACTCCCGGGGCTGGAGGTCAGAGGTGCCTCTGCTTAACCCGGAAGCACCGTCTGTTTCCTTTCACCTCCAGGAAGCCAGGAAGAGACAACGTAAAACAACTGGGGTGTAACTTCTGAGAGCCCTCATGGACTGCCTCTTTTCAGGGTGTTGCAGGACTGTCCTGGCTCTTCATCATTCTTTATCCAGCAGATTTTGAGGCAATAGGACGCCATTGTCTGGATCCTCTTACGTATTCTCCTCCGAAGAGCACTGGCTTGTGCTATCCAGGAATCAAGGACTGGGATCAGGGATTCTAGGCAAGCCATCCTAAGGAACTGTGAAATTACATAAACACTCACAGTGTAAATATGAACAGGAAAGTGTTTCATTATTATAAGCTGCAGAAAATAGGAATCAAAAATAATAAAAAGCCAGTAACTGTTGAGGATCTTAATGAGTCTTGCTGAAATGTCCTCTTTACAGAGAGGAGAAGGGCGAAGTCCATTATGTGAAATGGAAGGTGCATAATCTAAGCAAGGAGTTCTGTTGAGCTTCTCCCTTCATTGTCCAGAGGCAGATCTATGGGCCGACCTAATTTAAAACCTCTGATCACAGTGATTTTCTACAGGAATAGGCAGTTCTCAACTCGTTCTAAGACAATGCTTCTGCAGGAAGGTTTCACGGGCAGCAGATCTGGGGCTCCTCACCTCAATCCAAAGTCCAGCAGGGCTCCCTATACTGATGCCGACGTTTGTAGTAGCAACACCATTTGACCTCCTTGCAGCTTTTATCCCGCCAGCACATAGGTAACAGGATGAAAGGGCAGTCAAGAGAAAACTCTGGGCAACTTCCAGGTTTCTGTGCAGCTGGAGAAAAATGCCACAGGGTGAGTCGGGGACACCAAGTGGCTTCCAGGCATGAGAGCCAGGTCGTCGCACGGACTCCTCAGAGGAAAGGTTCCCCAACTCCAGCCACACTACGGGTCGCCACGCCCTACCCGCCACTTTTCAGGACTCCAGGCTGGGCCATGTGGAGGAGGCAAAGGGGGACGGTCACAGCGAATAGAGAGAGGCTGCTTAGCTTCATAATGCAAGAAAAGGGCTTGGGCGCACCTGGAGGCTGGACCTATGCCAGCTCTGGCGGGGCCCCACCAGCAGGTGGTGCTGTGGCTCCCGGGGCTGGAGATCAGAGGCGCTTCAACGTGACCGGGAAGCACCAGCTGTTTTCTTTCACTTCCAGGAAGCAACCACGTGAAACAACTTCTGGGGTGTAATTTTCCAGAGCCCCCATGGATTTTCCTTTTTTCAGGGTGTTGCAGAACTGTCTTGGCTCTTCGTCATTCTTACTTTATACTGTGGAATTTTTAGGTAATAGGAGGGCATTGTTTTTCCCAGGGACTGCATCAGTACTGACCAATTTCCCTCTTCCCACTGTGTATCCAGAACATTTGAAACCGACTCCTCACAGCCATGTTCAGACAAGGGTGCATTTGAAGTGTTTACTTTTACTACATTAACATTGAAACACAGACAGAAAGTCAAAGCCAGATATTGATCTATTAGCAAGACAATTTCTAGATTTATGAAAATTCTAGTTCCTTTTGCACTATGGACTTTAAGTTTAGTTCGTGAAAAAATTTTCTCATTTAATTCATGTCTTAATGTTTTCATGACTGTGTGAAAACTTCACTAGTTGATAAAGTCAAAAGACCAACTTATGGGCTTACAGGATTTAAGGTCATTGGTGTCCATTATCTGACTAGTAAGCAAACAAAACAGGGAATTTAGTGACTGCAAACGATGTATAACACAGGCTTTACAAAATTAGTCCAGGAGTGCTACTAAGCAAGTATTCAGCAATAAAAACCACACAAACAAATGCTGAAGATAGAGTCTTATTTCCAAAGCTGCCAAATTACATTATGTGGAAAGTCCAATTTTATTTAAAAATTATGAGATGTTTAAAGAAACATGAAATACCACCCATACACAAAAAAGAGGGGAAACAATAAATAGAAATGATCCTTTTGGAATCCCAGACAATGGCCTAGTGGTCAAAGACATCGGCTATTATACTCAAAGAACTAAACAAAATCATGGGCAAAAAGATTAACAGAAAGTATAAAAATCAGTCTCACATCATAAAAAGAATTCATGATGAATGATGAGGTTGTAAAGTAAAATTGCTGATATAGAAATTCATAAGAGGTTCTTACCAGCAGATAATAGACAGAAGAGAGGAATAACTAATATAATTATAGGTCAATTGAGATTATACGCTCTGAGGAACGACAAAGAAAAGAACAAACAAAAATAAATAGCGCTTCAGAGACCTGTGTAATACAGTCTAATGGAAAAACATGTGCATAATGGGAATCCCAGAAGAGAGGAGACAGAAAGAAAGAGGCAGATGGATATTTGAAGATATAATGGCTAAAAACATTTGATTTTGCTTTAAAACACAAATCTCCATGTATAAAAATCTCAGTGAACACTAAGAAAAACTCTTAGAGATCCACACCTAGACAATTTATAATGGAAATATCAATGACAAAGACAAAGAAACATTCTTTTTTCTTTGAAACAGAGTCTCGTCCTGTCGCTCAGGCTGGAGTGCAATGGCACGATCTTGGCTCACTGCAGCCTCTGCCTCCTGGGTTCAAGAGATTCTCCTGCTCCAGCTTCTCTAGTGGCTGGGATTACACGTGTGCACCACCATGCCCAGCTAATTTTTTGTATCTTTAGTTAGAGACGGGGTTTCACCATGTTGACCAGGCTGGTCTCGAATTCCTGACCTTGTGATCTGCCCACCTTGGCCTCCCAAAGTGCTGGGATTATAGGCATGAGCCACCGCGCTTGACTGAGAAATTCTTGAAAGCAGCAAGAGATAAGTAATTCAAAATGACTATTAAATAAGGTTTACAGCTGATTTATCATTAGAACCATGCAAGCCAGAAGATACAGAACATATTAAAAGTGGTGAAAGAAATATCGGTCTACCAAGAATTCTATATCATGGCAAATCTATCCTTCACAAGTTAGGGAAAAATTAAGATACTCCCAGGTACACGAATACTTCATGTTTTTCACCATTAGATTTCCCATACATGAAACACTGACATGATGGCATATGTAGAAAACTTTTAATAATCCACATAACTCCAAAATATTATTAGAGCTAATAAACAAACTCATTAAGGTGCAGGACAAAATATCAACCTATACCTCTCAATTGCGTCATGAAAAAAATCCATTTACAATAGCATCAAAAAGAATGAAACACATAGGAATTTATTTAAGAAAATAATGGCAAGACTTCTACATGAAAACAACAAATCATGATCAAAGAAATTAAAGAAGACATAAAAATAGACAGCCATTTCATGTTTGTGGATTGAAGACTTAATATTGTTAGGCAGACAATTTTCCATATTTTATCTGAAAACTAAATGGAATTCTTATAAAATTCCAGATGACTTTTTGTAGAAATTGACATGTTAATCCTAAAGTTCATGTGTAAATGCAAGGATCCAGAATAGCTGCCACAATCTTGAAAAAGAGTGTAAATTTAGAAGACTCATACTTTCCTATTTCAACATTTACTACAAAGCTACAACGTCAAGACAATGTGGTACTAGCATAAGCGTAGACACATATATCAAAGGAATAGAATTGAGAGTCCAAAAATCAACCGTTACATTGTCAATTCACTTATCTCCAACAAGGGGAGAAAAACCATTCAGCAGAAAAAGTCGTCTTTTCAGCAAATCATACTGGGAAAACTGGATATCCACATGCAAAAGAATATAGTTAGAACCTTATAGCACACCAGATACAAAAATTCCACTTCCATAATTATACCCGAGAACTGAAAATGTATTCATGCAAATATTTGCACATGAGTGCCCATAGCAGCATTATTAATAATTAATAAAAACAAGAGCATCTGGGAAAAAGGAATCTGGAGCTGCACCTTGAGTGGAATGCAAATATTAATCAAGTTGGACCATAAACCTTAGGATAGATGCTAAACCTATGAAGCTTCTAGGGAAGGACATCACAGACAGAACATTTTTGCAGCCTTGGGGAAGGCAAAAGTTCTTAGATACCATAATATTCATATTAAAAGGAAAATGAATATGTTTGATTTCATCACATTTTAAAACTTTAGCTCTTTCGAATACATCATCATTGAGAAAAACAAAACAAAACAAGCCACACACTGGGAGAAAATTCTACTCCTAGTTATTTACCACAGATATTTAAAAATATATATTACTGTGCCTTGTACAAGAACTTATGTGATATCCCAATTCACAATGACCCAAACTGGGAACACCAAATGTTTATCAGCAGATAAATAGAAAACAAATGTGGAGAGTCAAACAATGGAATGCTATTCAGCAATAAAATGAATGAACTGTGATACAACAAAACAGAATGAATCCCAACACTGAATAACAGTGATACACAAAAGGTAATGTTATTACATAATTTCATTATATAAGAATTAAAAACAGTGAGTTATGAGTTTCTAGAAGTCAGTATAATATTTTCCCCTGAAGAACTGGGACTGAATTTGAAAGGAGCATAAGGCAAGATGAGTGTTCCATATGTTCATCTATGTGTTGTGCAATCACATGTATGTGTTTGTCAAATCTCATTCAAGTAAATACACAAGATCTGTGCTTTTCTTTATATGTATTTTACCTCTCTTTCAAAGAAGGCATAATAAAAAATTATTTTATTATTATTACTTCCAAATTTGTTGTCCTGGCACTATTTTTTTGAGCACTGGGGTTGAGATCATCTCACTCAATATCTCTAAGCACCTCTGTGAGATGGTTATTGTTATCCCCACATTAAGATGAAGGAACTCTACATCAGAGACCCCACTTTCCCAGACTATGCAAGCGGTGGGATCCACAGTTCAAGCTAATTGTAACACAGCACACAGCATTTATGACTCTGGCTGTCTTGGTTATTTGCATGCTAATTTAGGTTTCCCTCCCTGCACAATCAGCAACATGTCAGGGAAACTGTTGAATGTATGTCTCTCCACATATAGAGAAGAGAGTCTGTTCAGTAGACTGTAGCAGGTAATTGTAGCTTCCCTGATGCTAAGGCCCCTAAGCCCAACACCGTTTCTCCTCTTTAACTGGTGGGCTGGTAAACTAAGGCAGGTGGCTGAACACAGGGCCTTTGTGTTTTTGGGAAGGATGCAGTGAAGAGAGACAGGATTCTCATAACACTATGACCAAGTCTCTTATCACACATCTACAAGCAATATGAGACCTCATAGAGAAGATTCTTCCTTTCTTCCTTTCTTTCTTTCTTCCTTCCTTCCTTTCTTTCTTTTCTTTCTTTCTTTCTTTCTTTTTTCTTTCTTTCTTTCTTTCTTTCTTTCTTTTTTTTCTTTCTTTCTTCCTTTCTTTCTTTTCTTTCTCTCTCTCTTTCTTTCTTCTTCTTTCTTCCTTTCCTTTCTTTTCCTTCCTTCCTTTTTCCTTCATTCCTTTTTCTTTCTTTCTCTTTCTTACTTCTTTCTTTCTCTCTCTTTTTCTTTCTTTTCTTTCTTTCTGTCTCTCTTTCCTTTCTTTCTCTCTCTTTGTCTTCTCTCTTTCTCTCTTCTCCTTCTGCCTCCATCTCTCTCTCTCTCTCTTTCTTTTTAAGGAAGCTCTACAATATTTAGTCAGCATGTACTATGAAGTTAACTGTGTCAAAGTTTTTCATGTGCAGATGTGGGACTTAAACTTGCAGGAAAGAAAAGATTTAATTAAAGATGTACTAGTTCTTAAAACAGAGCTAGAAAGGAATCCAGATCTCTTATTCCCAGGCTAGTGATTTTTCTTATTCCTCTATGCTGGCTTCTTCTCCTGGATATTTGGCTTTCCCTGGAAGCATCTTTAGAATAGAGGGTGAAAGGGCATAAAAGGAGTAGAATTTATATTATTAACACACCACC